AGCGAACCCCCCCCCCCCACCCTTGTGCAGCAACCAGAAGATGACATGACTGTATTTGAATAAACATAGATTGTTGTACATGAAAAAACATTCCCTGAAAATAATCACTAATGTGTTTTTGATGCAAAAATTAACATAAGACCCTGCCTTTTTTTCCTGGAAGAAGTGCCAAGCTGTGCAGGATTGTTACAACTTCTGCATAGAAAGAGATACTGTATTTCCTATGCAGGACTCACTGGAAAGGGCAACCCACACAGAGAGACACAAAATAACTAAGCAGCACAGGTTTATTGCAATTCCTGCATAGATGGACATCTTTCTTCCACAGGAGAGCATTAATCATGCTCAGAAATTGGTAATTTCTTGCACAGAGCGAAAGGGAAGAAGCTGCTGCTGCTGTCTCCATTATCGTTGCCTCCTTTTCATGGGAATTGAAGAAATCCTTTTGCTACAGGGGGAAGTCTTAGCACTGCAACACTCAAACTGCCATGGGAAATAGGAAATCTTCTGAGCACTCATAACGTCCCTGCTTTAAACCCTTTCCTGATTAGACCTCATTGTAATCTGGTGACAGAACAGTGACAGTTGCCATTCAATCTATCCTGGTCTTTGACAACAGCAGAGAAAGATACAATTTGCATCAGAATCATGGCCTTCTCTTTCACTGGCTCCCTTCTGGTGCCCCATCCCCATCCCTAGGCAGAATCCTGCCAAACATTTTGAGAATCACTCTTCAGAGCAAGGGTTGGTCCTCCTAGCTTCTAAAGTCACATTTTGGATTACAGTTTCCCAAATATCCCTGCTTTGACAAGGAATTCCGGACGTTGCCATGCAAAAGGGAACTTTTCTGGTCTCTGCCCCAGATGTCCTCAGACTGCTAGCTCATTGGACCAAACTAGCACAGCCCAGGCTGAAACCTTATGGGAGGTGCAAAATGTTTACTTCTCCCATAGATGCCACATGAGAGGCAAAAATAAATCTTTCCTTTGATAAAGGAAGAAAACAATGGGTCCCAACCAACCCTGTTCTTTTTTACCGGCTGCTCATTCCTTTGATCCAGTGACTGCACATGAGTTGTTTCTGAGACTTACCCAGTCATCAGACCGTTTGAAATGGCTATTCTGTGGTAAGAATTTCTACTACTCAGCTTTAAAGCTAAACTGCCATAGGCCCAGTGAGGGAGGGGAAAAAACAAAGCAGTGAATTTAGGCTCCAGACGCTCATTATTTTGATCCAGTGACTGCACACAAGTTGTTTCTGAGACTTCACCAGAGTATGGGAACTCAAAACAACAAACAAAACAAAAAAGAACAAGGCGTGCTGTTTATATACTTCCCAATAGCTCTTAAAGCACTCTCTGGCTGGTTTACAACAGAACTGCACAAACAACACTCCCCCCCCCCAATGAGGTGGGTACTCAATTTAACCAACCTCAGAAGGATGGAAGGCTGAGTGAACGTTGAGCCGGCTACCAGGGATTGAACCCTGGTTTGTGAGCAGAGTTTTGGCTGCAGTACAGTGGTTTAACCACTGCGCCACAAGGCTCCTCTCGCTGGTCCCAGTCACCAAACAGTTTGAAATGGCTATTCTGTGGTAAGAATTCCCGTCACTCCGCTTTAAAGCTAAATTGCCATAGGCCCACTGAGGAAGGAAAAACCAAGCATTGAATTTAGGCCCCAGAGAAGATTCTTTGACCCATTTGGGGGAAAGAGACAAGCAAAGCTTCTCCTACCCATTTTTTTTTTTCAGTCCAGAAACATCAGAAACGCCACACTTCCCTTCTATTCCAATTCTAGTCAGAGTCCCCAGGGCTTCTAAAACAGGCAACAGAACTTAGAAATGTTATTTTTTTAGACTCCACTTCTTGTGGCCACTGGCTGCTGCTTGGAGTCTTCGAAAGCCATTTTCCCCCCAAGATGTATCAAGTACCAAGGGCTGGGAAAGCCCCTTCTCCGTCTGAGACCCTGGAGAGTGGCTACCACTCAGAGAGGATCGTACTCGCCTAAGTGACCAAATGGTTTGACTTGGCATTTTCTGACCTTCCATTGCTAAAAGACCTAGGAAATGTAGAGTAGCCATTTCAACAGCAGAGCTGAGGTTTGTAGTTTTGTTGACCAGCACACAAGCAAAGCTTCTCCTACCCATTTTTTTCCTATCAATCAACATCAGAAACGCCCCACTTCCCTTCTATTCCAGTTCTATTTAGAGCCCCAGGGTAGTTTTGTTGACCAGCATATGCAGCTTTGTCTTTAGCCCATGGAGTGTTTCCACATCTCGTCTGCTCTTCTCTTCCTCTCCGGCTTCCCCCTCCTGGCCTAGGTGTGCTGCGGATCCTGGCCTTGCTGTTCACTTTAGTCACCACCTGGTTTTTTGCCAGTGCCTATTTCAACCAGACGCAGACAAAATCCATCAACCTGAGGAGCTGGCTGTGTAAGTCATCATTACTTCTACTGCTTTTTTGAGTTACAGTGTGGTATAGTGGTTACAGTGACAGACTAGGACTCTGGGGAACAGGGTTCAAATCCCCAGGTGGGCCATGGAAACTCACTGGGGGAGTGAAACTGGTAAAACCACTCCTTAAATATCTCACCTATCCTGAAAGCCCTTTTAGGGTTTTTGTAAGTTTGTTGCTCAGCACAGAATACTGAATACTTTTTTCCCCTCCTAAAAAAGTGTTCTGTTTCTATACTACCCCATAACACTTAGAGCACTCTCTGGGCAATTTGCAAGTTAATTATGCAAGCTGCACATTGTTGTCCCCCCCCCCCCAAGGGAGCAGGGTACTCATTTTACTGACCTCGGAAGGATAGAAGGCTGAGCCAACCTTGAGCTGGCTGCCTGGGTTTGAACCCTGGGTTGTTGTGAGCACAGTTTTGGCTCCAGTACAGTAGCTTAACTACTGCGCCATGAGGCTCCTCCTCTACTCTCTGGCCTTCTTTCAACTCTATGCATGAAAGAGTGGTCAGAGGGAAAGGGTTTTCCACACTTCCAATCCAGAGCTAAACTGGAAACTGGAGGGCCTGCACAGGACGACCACTGGAACCCAGATTCTTATGGAGAGTTGCCAGGTTGCCACCCAGAGGGCATTCTTGCCACCTTAAAAGCTAGGAAGATCAAGAGGGATGCTGGAGCTAGCCTGCTTCCTCTCCCCAGGTATTCTGATCAACCCTCCTTCTCCTACAGTGACGTCAAAGAGCCAGAGATCATGAAGCTTCCAGTGAATAAATACATGGCTATTTAGGCAGGCTTTCCCTCCTGCTGTGTTTTAATATCTATATTTTTACATCTTGGATTTGCATATGTTATTGGTTTTATTGTTTTTAAACTTTGTTATGATGCCCAGAGTATTCTAGATGGGCGG